CCGGAGAGCTTGAAGTGGGAGGAGACACGTCAAATGATTTCAGGCCAGGAAGCTACTTCAAAGGAAGGATGTCGTCTCTTGAGTAAAATCAAGGATGGAAGTTACAGGAGGCTCTTACGCCCGAACTTATGGGATGGATGTGGTTTGTTCAGAAGCAGTTAGCATTGAATCGGCATACCATCTATATGGCAAAGCGATCACTGATTTCTGGGATAGGAACACTGAAAGACATGGTATTCAAATGGGGAGCTTATGTGGCCACAAGGATACATGCAGAAATAGGAGCTAAGCGGGAGATGGAGAAGTTTGCTTCACTATTATGTTCCAATTATGTAAACTCAGTGATTGAGTATACATTGAAACAGGAATCTCAACCAGTAGTTCTAAGTTTACAAACGGGAACAGTTAGTCCAGGGATAATGGTGTATGAAGTAGGAGAATCTAGCAGAGCAGCAGAACGGGAAGCAAGACCAATATCTATACCAGAGCGAGTTCCAATTCGGTCGACAATAGAGATGACGACACCAATACCAGTTCCAAGGGAAAGCAACTAATTAAGGTTTCAACGGGGTGTAACGGAAGGGTGGAATCTTAAGGAAGTTATATTGGGTCAAATTTCTCAGCTGCAACTTATGATGAGTAAACTCGAAGATGAAGGTAGCTTAAAAAGGCAAGTGGAAGCGAGCAAGAAAATAATATTGAAGTAAAATTACAAAATCATGGAACAGGAACAAGTCATCAAGGTAGAATCAGAATCTAAGATATGAGTAAAATGTGAATTGGATGAGAAAGTGGAAAAAATGTTAAAGGAGAAACAGAGGATTCAACATATCCTGAAAAATCAAAGGCAAGAATTATTACAAACTTACAAATCGTATAGATTGGAACAAGAAAAGATGAATGCTCAGTTGAAGGAGAGAAGAAGGAGGCATTTGAGATTGAAAAGAAATAATTGGATGACCAATATCAAAACAATACGGATGAGCTACAGGTAGAAATTGTTATTTTGAAGGAAATAATAATGAAATTGGAGAGTGATTTGGTCAGTATTGGTTAGTCACAAACATTTGCCTCAATGGGAGTAAGAATTGGAAAATTAGAGGAGAAATTGCAACAGCAGCAATAACAACTGGAAGTTAAAGATGCCAGAATCCTCCAATTGGAAGCTCAGGTTTGAGAATTGGAAGCATATAATAAAGATTTAACAGCTCAATTAAGGGCAGAGATTCAGGACAAGTCGAAGGAAGAAGATATAGTATTGGAACAAGACCAAATGGAGTCAGCGCCAAAAATCAAAGAGATTGAACAATCCAGTTAAAAAAAAAAAAGGATTGATTTTTGTTTATCAATACTGTGTTTGCGGGGACGTTGCACAGTTAGGAGTGGGACTATGTAGAATAAGTAGTTATTTTCAAAATATAGATATCTACTGTATAGTATAAACAGAAATAGATAATTGTTGAAAAGGTGGTTCAGTAGATAGAATGGATGAATAGTCAGGAAAAGTAGTTATCATCTGTAGTATATGAGTTGGTATCTCGAGATAGTATAAGGAGGATGGGAGAGGGGAAGAAAATACCAGACTGTGATAGTATTGAGCCGGGGATAAGCTTGGTGCTATTTCTTCTTCTTAATTTTCTTGTTTCTTTTGTGTTAGTGTTGATTCTAGTGAAGAGAATCGATTTAATGAATTAATGTTTGATTTAAAAAGTTGTTTATGGATCATTGTTTATCAATTGTTGTGAAAGATTGAAGACGTATGGAAGTTTCCAGTCACTATTTGTCGCAAGGTTGTAAGTTTAGTGGAGAGGAATTGTAATTGAAGGAATTGTCTTGATCAGATTCTGTGGATTGGAAGTTGTTCATTCCAGGGTTTGGGATATGCTTGTGTATTCGTGAATTACACAGGGTACTGAAATCGTTGTCGTGGATGTTATTGTATTGATATGAGAGAGTGGACAGTAAGAGGAAAAATTAAGTGTTTTTTGGTATGGTAAGCATTCAGCAGTAGCGGTTAATTGCGTGACCCTAACAATTGGAGCTCATATACATGGTCTTTCTCTCTGTTCGAATTCCCCTATATAGGTTTATTCTGGGAAGTTTCTTCCGGAATAAGTAAAATGACAACCATACTAAGTATCAACTCAATGTATTTTAATTTGTCAATGTGTTGATTTTCTTATAAACAATGTTTTTCCCATAAATCAAAATATACATATTTTTGAATTTATATTAAATAAAGGTAGCAAATTACTATAAAATGTGATAAAAAAAAAATATTTTTTAGTATTGATAATCCAAACAAAATTAATACATTTTTTTTTGAAAAAAACAAAAAATTTAGATATTTCATACATTTAAAATTACTATTGTGTCATGGCATAAATCAATGTTATACTAAAATAATCTATATGTATATATATACATATACATATATACATACATATATCTATTAAAAGAATGTTATTTTAAAACTTAAGAATATAAAAATAAAAAAATAATTTTTCATCAAAAATGATATTATATAAATATATATATATATATATATATATATATATATTCACATACATAGAATTTCATAAATTGTGTTAGCAAAACTCTAGTATACCAAAATTTTGACTTTTATTTATAATATATGATCTAAGTCCCATACAACCTTCTATAGAAAACATTGTGTGAAGAGGTAGAAGATTTTAGAATTCTATTGAAATATTATTGAAGTTATTAGAAACCAACAAAAATCATCAAAAGGTTGTAAAAGATTATAGAATATATATTATAGAAGATTATAGAATATTCCTATTCTTCATCATTATTGTGTATCTTTGATGACAATGCTTTTTAGTATTACATTTGTACCACAAAACAAGCATAAAATAATATCAAATTATTAATTTGAATGATGTTTATTAACCACCTATATTCGAAATTATTTTGATGCCCATTTTTAAGATGAATACTTAGAAGTGATAACCAAGAATTCAAAAGTTAAAATGATAAAACAATATAGAAATAAACAACTCAGTTTTTAGTTTCATAGTTCTTTAATTTACTAACATTCAAGACTAAATAGTTTTTATAGATGAGTTGTAAAGAAAATTATAGATTAAAAGAAGGAAAAAAAATTAATATCAATAATAAAAAAATCAGATATTAAAATAAATATTTTTTAATTAAATTTTATTAAAATAGAAAATTGATAAATTTATTAGAATATATATATATATATATATATATATATATATAATGAATAACTATAAAAATGTATATATGTATGGATATCTATAGAAAAAAATAAAATCCACCCACTTGAGACTTAAATCAATGTAACTATCTTCACTCTACTCCTGTTGCATCGCTTAGGGCTTAGCACTCTCTCATTGATCTCTGAATTTCAAACTCCATGATGTGTTGATTTTGCAAGGGATTGAAGAGGTAGAGAATAGAACTCTAAGAAAGCTCAAAAGAAAATTATACAAGATTAGTAATATTAGAAGTTAATTAAATTGGAAAGAAGTTGGTGAATCATAAAGAAGAATTGAGAAGAGAAGTTTCTGATGTATTTAAAATTTTCTAAATATTTTTCAAATTTACAACATGTTATATATTTGTGATGTATAAAATTAAATATATTCTTTGTTCAAAAAACATCTTTTGTATTGTTTTATACATAGTGTACAAAAAATAATTTTTAAAATTGAAATTTAATTAATTAGATAATATTTATTTAAATAATTAGATTATAGAAAATTTTAGAAAATGATAAAGCGATTCAAATTTTTACTAAATCAACCCACATGTTTAAACCATCATTGTATCCTATCAACCTCGTCCCTATTCCTAGCCATTCTCTTGTTCCCAACTATTGCCCCCATTCCAAACGTTTAAACCTCCCATGCTATTTTCAACATTTCCAACCCCTTGCTCTCAACTTTAGCAATGGTTGGGAAAGAGTTGGATCAAAGATGGAGGCTACAAGGGTACAATGATGGTTAAGATAGAGTAGGTTGCTTTAGTAAAAAATTAGGTTGTTTTATCATTCTCCTAAATTTATTATAAATATAATAATAATAATTGTAATAAATTTAAAAATATATGTATATTTTAGTTATATTTTACTTACTTTTCACTAAGCTTTTGTGATTATTATTCACAATAGTTACACAAAGCAAGTCAAATACTCAATTAAAGGATTTTATTGAAGATATGTTATTGATAATTGTATATATATCCAAAAAAGTTAGTCACATTATTTGCATTGCATTAATATGATTTATTATTGCAGCATATTCTTACACATTTATCACAGAATAGTTACAGTTATAATTTAGAAGCATTTGATATTTGTTTGCATCCATGTATATATATATATATATATATATATAAACATAAACCTAGCAATAGTTTGCATAAATTTGTATGAGTTGTTTTGAATGTGCTGAATATTTTGGTGTCATTGTGAGAGGATTTATAAACAAAAGCAAATGCAAATGTGTTTGTGAATGGCTGTGTAATGTAAGCTAGTTTATAGGATGTATTGGACATCAAAGACAAAATGAAAGGAGTATTGTTGGATAGAGAAGTGTGGAAAGGTGGAGAGGAAAGGATGAAGAAGTTTGTGATGGTGAGCAATAACAAACGATGTGGGGGAATGGAATGGCTATGGGGAGGGGGTGGGGGAGGCAAGGCAGTGAGTGAATGAGAGCAGAGGGTGGAGCTATAGAGCGGGGGGTGGGTCACCCTGCTTGATTCGAAGAAGAGCCCAAGTCAATCCAATCAATCACTCACTCACTCACCCCCCACACCCCCACACGACGACTGAAGCAACGAACACTCCGTGCCTGTGCGCAGTCCGACCCTGCAAACCGGAGGGGAGAAAGAGGGAGAGGGAGAGGGGGGGGGGGGGGGTTTCCCTCGGGTGGACTGACTCCGAACCTTAAATTATTCCAGCACACTCTGTCGCTGCGGTGTCGAACTGCAATTAGTTTCAGTTGCCATTTCCTTCCGGAATCCCCCCCCCCCCCCCTCTTGCATCTAACTTTCTCCATCCCGGTTTCCGCCTTCTTTCTTACACATCCTCGATGCTGCCATTCTCTGTTGTATCCGCGGAGACGGATACTCACGTCGACCCGGAGCAACATCCATGACGACCTTCAAAGTCTAGCAAGCAAGGTGTAGAGATTTCCGAAGTCGAGTGAATGATCTGTATAGAATTCTAGCTGAAGCGTTTTTCCTTTCTTCATAGGGAGCCGGTTTTGGCTACTCTTTGCACACGCTTTGATTTTTCTGTAATTTAGTACAGTGTTCAGTTGGGGACCTAAAAAGTCACAATGTGGGAGGCTGTAATTCTCACGGTTGCAGCTGCGGCTGGGAACAATGTTGGAAAAGTTCTTCAGAAAGAAGGCACCAAAGGCTTGCCTCAGTTATCTCTAGATCGGAAGGTAAATAAATGACTCCTACCACAATAGGTTTCGATACTGACTCTTTGCGACAATCTAAACAAAGAATTTTTCCGCCGCTCCGGGCATGCGCTCCCTGTTTGAGCTAACTGATTTTCTTTGACACCACATGAGACTTTGAACAAATACCTGAATATCCTAATGAAGACCAGTGTAGTAGGTTTAGGATACAGATGTTAGGAACTGGATATTAGCCAATGGTTCATCAGCTTCCTATGAGCAGGATGGATGTTCCTAGCCATTCATAATGGCAATGGCCTGCTTGCGTAAGCTTCTGATGCAAGCGCTTGCGAAGATCTGGGGCAACTAGGGGAATTATAGCAGACCTTGAAAGTTTTGGTGGTGATCGTAAATTTCAGACCGAATCGCACAGAGGAGCCTGCTAAAATTTGTTATCGAAATCACCTATGTTTATCCTTGCAAAGCTTCAATCTTTTGTTTTCTCCAAGATAACGACCAACTTCGAGTGGGATACAGTGTTATCAATTGGGAATTTTTGGATCCAGGTTATACGAAAGTACGGAGGCAGCAGAACATGGATAATTGGTGTGGCAGTGGATGTTCTAGGTGCACTGCTGATGCTGAAGGCTGTTTCTCAGGCACCTGTGAGTGAGTGTTTTATTTTTGTGTTGTCCCCTGCATTTTTAATCATGTCCACTTTCATGTATTCTGTGTAATGTTGATGCACATGTAATGTTATGCACATGTTTGGCATAACGTAGAGGTAGTGCTTAGCAAGTCACAAAGTTGGCATTCAGATTTTGTTTATTGTATCGCTCGAAGTCATTGAACTGATTTTAACGGATATTCATACATATGTCCTGTTGACGTAGGTTTCTGTGGTTCAGCCAGTTTCTGGCTGTGGCCTTGCAGTGCTTGCTGTTTTCTCTCATTTTTACCTGCATGAAGTAATGCATGGACTCGATTGGGTTGGTGTTGTCATGGCCAGTTTGGGAACCATAGGTAATGTTCATACCACTTCAGAGAAAGGTTTTAAAAGGATACCTCATTATTTTTTTGTCTACTTTGTCAATTCTAAACGATGTGTCTAGTAATGGTGGATGTCGGGGTGGTTAATGTTTTTCAAGAACGCAAATGGACATCATTTGAAAATGACCTAGAGTTGAAATCATCTTCAAGTTTACAACTATCACAAAATTTTACCACCTAACCCTGCCTTAATTTTGAAATTATTGTACTCCAGTTCTGCTGTTAATTTGATTCGTAGTCTAGTTTGGTCTCTTCGTGATTTTGGAGATTATTGGACATCTTAAAGGTCGATGAGCGATGAACTGAGGCTGGAATTTGACCAGATGCACCTGTGAAGTATAATTTTGTAGGCGCATAACTAGGTGTAGCTTTGTCAACTGGTTGATGTGCATCATTTTATCCATCAGTTATTGGAGCATTGGGGGAGGAGCAAAAAGAAGCAAAGATTTCTCTGGCTAGATCATTGCTGTTTCTTGTCTGGTTGGCTTTGTTCTTTGTACGGTATTCCTCCACTTAACTCATTGTTTTGTGGCTTCATGTTTGTTATGCCGATATTTCTAGGTTATGGTGGTTCCACTCAAATATCCAATCCGCCTTGCGCATTGTACAAGTAGTCTGAACGTCAATTTTTAGTGCAACTTGCGAACTCGTTTCTTCTCTCAGCGTGCAGTTTGGTTGTATTCGATTTTTAATTTTTTTTATGAGCGATTTTGTCTGAGCGTGACAGGGGATTATTGATTGCTGCGTAAGATCAGGGAAGAGACGGCACGAGAAGCATGATGAAGGAGATGTTCAAATGGTATGGAGAATTCACTTTCGCATTCAAATTAATGTCTGCTTTTGAATTACAATACATTTGGTTTTTAGACTTAATAAAAGACAATTTCAATTCATTTTATCCACGTAGATCTTAGTAAGAATGTTAAGCGCTTGTGCCAGAAACTCTCTACCGCTAGGACACTGGAGTGATTTGCCAAAGTTTAAAAATATGTTGTTGTACATGAGTTAAAATATTGGTATGTTCTTTTTGTACTGTGTGTGACATTGGATGTGCAGAGAGATGTTGATGTAATGGAGGAGCTTGCTGCTGGCATGGAGGCAGGAACTTGCTTTGGGTACACCGTGTGCAACGAGACTTGATTATGTTGTTCAACATCATGTTCCTGCGATTCTTCTCATTTCACATGAAGCTTTATTTCTTTTTGAGCCACCACGCAGTTGTAAATGTTTTCTGTGTTTAAAAATAGTTTCTTGAATTATCGAGGTTTCTGATTTAGGGTCAGCTTTATTTCTTCAATTACATGATATCACGTAACAAACGCGTCAGTTTTCTGTTTAGTAATCATTCTGATATTTTTTGTTAACTACGTAGCATCATTGGACACTATATGCAAACTGCATGTTAAGCATAGAATAAATTGACTAGATCAAATATCCAACTTAGTTTATGTTAATAATTCGAGCATTGTACGCACTTTACTGAGTGGTGAATGGCCTTGGAGGTTGCAGGTTGTCTGCATCAGTTTGTAAAGTTGGTTTCATGCTTGCAGAACGTGGCTTATCTCAGTGGTTTGTACCCGCTGGTATTGCTGTGGGCATCTGCTGCAGTAGCAGTGGGTTCTTCTGTCAGGTGATCTTCTTTTTCCATAAAGATGCACGTGCATGTTGATCCATGTAGTACTGGAGACCTGCTTTTCCTTTGTTTAGATTCTCGCTTTTCTTACGAAGGTACGCACCGTTTATTGGACAACGTTTTCTCACTTAGATCGAATGATACCATGGAAGCAATCAGCTATTTAGATTTCACGTATTGTCCATTAGTTCATCAAATTCGTAATTTGAAAATTAGGAGTAGTGAACTCGTGTAAAACTAGCTGTAGTGTGGTGGTTAACATTTTAGACCTAAGACTCTATTACCGATGGTTTTCTGTGAGACGGAGATCAGGGCAGTCTTATTTCTTTGCTTGAAATATGTTAAGTTTTTTCTATATGATCGCTTCGAAGTATACCTTGCATGGTCCATTTGTAGAAATTATTAAGTGCTATAAACTTTATGAGTGCTGTTTGCTGAATTATTGAAACTGCAAACATTTCATGGCAGACGAGAGGTTTGAAGAACGGAAGGGCAGTCGTGGTCTCGACGTGTGCAGCGGTTGCTTCTATTATGACTGGGGTTTTGGTTGGTTTGTTTGCACTTGGAGAATCTTTACCTGCTTCAACTAGTGGTCGATTGTTGTTGCTTTTGGCATGGTGAGGCTCTGACTTTAGGTGCTCATATTTTTCGTAGGGACCCTTTAATTTACGCGTATTTGCATCCACTTGCTTACTACCTCGAATATGTTTGGATCCCACTCCGTAGCTGTGTTGTTTGGTCAGGAATGTAGCTTGAAATTGCTGCTCAAAGCAATATATTGCAGTAACTATCAGGCTATATGATTGAAAGCTTCCTGCTTGGTTAAAAAATTACTGTACCGTTAATCATTTCACTTTCTTATTCAGAAAAGAAAATCCTAAATCCTGGGTTGTATGCAAAAGTTGCTATTCATCTGAAATGATCTATCTGGCTGCTTGAGGGCTGTTGTTAACCTCGTTTATTTGCGCGTGTTCTGAATTTCAGATTAAATTGGAAGATAATTTGAGGTATTTAGACGTTGATAATTTTTCTACTTTTGCAGGGGTCTTATTGTGGTGGGCATAATTGTAATCCTGCTCTCAGAGAAAATAGCTCTCATGCTGCCACGATCTTTGCGCCGTGTGTTGAAGCCAAAAGCCTCCCCGCCTAAAGCTTATTTACGAACTGCAGCTAGCGCTTCCTCTCGTAGAGATGTGGGGACAAGCAATGTTGTTCATGTTAAAGTATCATCCTCTTAGCATAGGACCCAAGTTATGTGTAGATGGAGGAAAGCTAGAATATATTCCTTTTCATTGGATTCGTAGATTCTGGCTCTCAGTGAGCCAAAAGTCACTCCCCTGCTGCGTCAGTGATGTTTCTACTGTGAAGCACAACATAAGTGTGAACAGGTGTGGTTTACCAATTAAGTCAGAAAGCTCAACAAGTCTTTGATGTGTAATGGAAGTTGTGGAGTAAGAATATCGCGATTGACTTTCTGAAATGAGCACGCTTCGATGTTCTTAGTTCCTTCGACCCATGATGCAGGGACATGGCTGTTGGCATTCTTTTGGATGCTAAACATTTGCTACGAATTTGCACTAGGACTAGCAGCTTGGTTCCATTACCTATGTTACGATGATTGTGTTGGTGGGTTTTGGTGAAATACATGTGTGTCACGTGCCGATGTGTGTGTTACTGGACACGAAATGTAATACAATGCGACATGTACTTTTCATCTGGTAACGAATCCAGAGACCTAAACCCGAAATTAAATGCACCAGGCGAAATTCTGGTATATTGATAACACTCCAACAATACATAGGGTTTCAGTAAAAAAGGATCCTATTCCAAGTCTTGATTAAGGGTGCGGTGTACAGCGCCATGTCAATGTTTCTAATATTAGTTTTTTCTCTTCTTCCCAAACTATGCAAACATTTTTTTTTGTTGCGACTCCGAAGTCAGTAGTACACGATCACACCTGAGAACCATCTAAACTTCTTTTTGCACTGCGCATTTCGTCAACAATCGCCTTCGTCATCGTCATCGTCGGGATGTATAGCAGCCTTGTGTTCTTGACTCCAAGCGGGTTCTTGTGCTGGAAGATGCCACTCTCAGAGTAGTAATATAGTGTAGCAAACCCTCGTCTCTTTTACAGTCTCGATCAAGCTCGTCTGCCTGCTTCTCGATTCCACCCACCATGATGCTGGATCTAGCCTCCTTCGGGGACGACAAATTTCATGCCAAATCGTGGGTCAATGCGGCCTGCAAGGCGCGTCACCCGGACGACTCCCTCGACAAATACTTGGGCGATTTGGAGATAAAGCTGCAGCTCATGGCGGAGAATATTGCCGCTTCTCTAGAGGAGCAAAGCGCGCAAGCGCTCCTGCGCGTGCCTCGGGCCTCCCGCGATGTTTTTCGGGTGCGCGATGATGCCCTCTCTCTCCGATCCACCGTCTCCGCTGTGCTCCAAAAGCTACAGCAGGTAGGGTTCTCTTCCTCTTCCTTTCCTTGCAATAGATTTGGCATGAAATTTGTCGTCCCCAAAGTCTATTGCACATGATTTTTAACTGGTTTAATTTAGGGGTGTTGGAATTCAATCTAAACCTGCTTTTCTGATTACCCTCGAATTGGTTTCAGGCAGAGGGTACTTCTGCAGAATCAGTAGCAGCACTTGCCCGTGTAGATGCTGTTAAGCAGCGGATGGAAGCGGCACATGAAACACTTCAGGTACTTCTCTTCTCTGATAATAATGTTGAGCTTTGTTTTTCCCGTCTTTTTGACAATGTAGTTTATGGAAAGTCAGGTTGTAATGCTTCAAGGATATGCGCGGAAGGATAGCGGAATCATGGTGCATTGTATGTTGCTGTAGTTGGTGTATTGTTGGAAACCAAACAACCGTATTTCAATTTTAACACCTAATGGGAACGAAAAGAATCGCATCAATCTCTAAAGTATCTGGTTGATGATGTGCCACTAAGATGGGAGTGGGTGACTCCAGAGTGGCACCGCAGTCAGATCACTTGTTACAACTTTTACACTTTGATTCTGATTAATCTTGTTTGTGGTCCGAGCAGGATGCGGCAGGATTGGCAAAGCTCAGCGCTAGCGTTGAGGATGTTTTCGCTAGTGGAAACCTACCGCAGGCGGCGGAAACTTTAGCTCAAATGCGCCGCTGCTTGGCAGTAGTTGGTGAAGTAAGCCCTGAGATTTATATTCTGCTGTCCTGCATTTATCACTGTCAAACATCAGGAGGATGCGCGCGCGCACACACACACAAACACATCTTCATCAGCATAATAATAACATCAATAATAAAAATAAAAGTAACAGAACAACTACGTGCCAGCATTGAATCCCATTTGACATTGAGGTGCTCAGTGGGTCACTTTCTAAATGCTTCAGCAGTCACCATTGCGTGAACCAAGACCGTTGAGTTTTAGGAATCCAGCTTGGATCTGTACTTCTATCGTGTTTGTTTTCATCGTTCCGGATATATTGATGCAATCTACCAGATTAAAATACTGTAGTCTTGGTCTTATCATTTACTTGCTGGATTTAGTGATGCAAGAAGATTTGATGATGTTCCAACCTGATGAACAAGTAGGTGCCCGAGTTCGCAAATGTGAAGCGACAATTGGAGGGACTAGAGGATCGATTGGAGGGTATGGTGCAACCACGGCTTGCAGATGCCCTCACCCAACGGAAGGTTGTTCCTCAACTCTTATGTGGTTTCTCATTTTGATTTTGCTTCCAAGAACATATTACAGAAAAAAAAGTATTGTTGCGGCTGGAGATACGTCATATACATAGAGGGCGAAATCGCAATCGGTTCTTGACATAAGCAAAACAACTCTAAAGATTCTTTTAGTGATTGGGCAAGAAAGCTCACATCGTCGTTTTGTGACCCTTGCAATATCGGGGGTGTATCAGGTGAGGCTTTTACGGGAAAGAATCTCAGTTAAAATAAGGGAGACTGTAGAATTTGGTTCCGAGTGGGAATTTTATTGAGCAGTTTGATATGTAGAGGACGAAATAAACCACGCAGCCTGTCTTGGTTTAGGGGAACATCGTTTCTCTCTGTGGGTGGACCTTCGCAAGATGTCTTCCCGCTCAAACCGAACGAACTTTGCTTCAAGTCTTTGTTGTTCTTCAATTAATTTGGCGACTAAGCTGTCACTACGGAAATAGAAGTCCAAGGTTGCCAAGATTGCGTCACACTGGTTTGTAGTACGTTGCAAATAGTATTTGGTGCAGTTACAAGTTTCAAATACTATCAATTGATATGTATGTTGACGTATTGCTTGCTATTTTCTAGGTGGAGAGTACTCAAGGACTTCGAGATATTCTCATTACGATAGGCCGATACAAGTCACTTGAGCAGCACTACACTCGAGTGCGAATGCGGCCTCTTAAGCGCTTATGGGAGGAGTTTGAGGCCGTAAAAGTTGGCATACCTTTGGCGAAGCCAGCAGCTACTGACAATAGTGTGGGAGGTGATCGAAGGCCTGCAACCATGCCTAATTCTGCAAATGGCTCAACAACTTCGTTTGCTGAATGGTTACCACACTATTACGACGAAGTTCTCCTTGTACTCGAGCAAGAGTTAAAATGGTACATACAACATGCATCAATTCTTTTGTAAAGTTAAGAGCTTAGTCAAATGGTAGGTTGTAGTTGGGTTTCGTGACATTTTTCTAGTATTCACAAATACCTCATCCTGGTGTGAAGAACATGAAGAACTTGTCTGAACTAGGGCAGTAATGTTCAGCGGACCTCAAATTCCTTTGCAGTATCTGTTTGGGGTTTGAAACATGTGCACACCTTGATTTCTCTAATTGGTTTCTCACCATTGTTCAACAGGTGCATGGTAGCGTTTCCGGAAGACTACAAGTTGCTCGTTCCCAGATTGTTGATTGAGACCATGGGTTCAATTTTTGCCAGCTTTGTCACGCGCATTGACACTTTCACAACTGAGGCTACTGCAGCGTCCAGAGCTTTGGTCGGAGGTACTTTTCTCGTCCATAGATCTATTGGTGAGGGGTGGTTTCGTTTTTATGTCAAAAGATCTTGGTTAATCTCAAAGCGTACCTTATGATGGAACTAGTTTAGACCTTACAGTCTTTCTCAAATTTCATTGGTCTCCCTTCACAACACATGCTGTAGTTTTGGTTACACTAGAAACTCTTTAAAAAAAATTGCAATATGTTGTACCACTGAAATGGTATCAATCTTTCCCGTCAATTTTTTCACATCCGCAGGGACTACTCTGACCTTCACAATAATGTTTTGGTCTTTCTGGATTAATTCGTACGGCAGGTGGTGGAGCTACCGGAGAAGTGAATGTTCGACACTCAACTTTGGGTTTACTCATAGGATTACACAACGTGGCACAAGCATTTTCGAAGAATGTCTTGCACTTGCTTTTCACAATTGATGTAGCTGAGTTGGCAAGGGTAATTGAAGCAATTTTCCAACCATTTGAAGGTTGCAAGCAAAGGTTAGTCTTTTAACATGAAGGAATGCATAATTCGTTGTCCGCATCATGTGTGCCGAGGCCGTGCCATACTGTTTGTGTGGGTTGTTGCCCATGGGGATGAGGTAATTAGTGCAGGAGGCCACATAACGCTCCTGCATTACTCTCAGTTTATAGTATGATCTTGGTTCTACACTGTTTGTCTTTAAGTGACGTCCACATCGTTAACCATGACTGCTGGTGTACACATGCTGATGTTAAATATGTGATACTTGTAGAATGATGTACTTCGTCTCTTCTGTTGAGCTTCTAGTGATTGCTTTACGGACCTTAGTGAGTAAATTTCTCCTATTATTCTCTTAGTCGATACTATGGTGATAGACGTCGTTTGATGGTTACAAGTTAGTCAAACTAAACGATAGATTAAGATATGTGATACCCTACTCATAAGCCATAGTGGAAGTGATAAAAACAGTGGGTCTTGCAATGGAACAGTTTGCCTATTCCTGATATACATTGAGTTGTGGCCACTTTGCAAGAAGTTATACTCTTGAAATGATATTTTCCAGGTATGGAGAGCTTGAGCGCATTCAACTTTCGGGCGAAGTATCAGCATTAGACTTGCGAGGAGCAGTTTCTCGGGGGTTTGGTCAACGCGGGGTGGAGCTTAGTGAAACAGTTCGAAGAATGGAAGCATCGATCCCTGAAGTTATTATAGCCCTTGAAGCTGCAGTAGAACGGTGTATAAGCTTCACTGGAGGAGTCGAAGCTGAATCTTTACTCCTTACTCTCGACGAAATTGTTCTGCAATACTTAGCTAGTTTGTTTGATATCCTCAAATCATTGCGTTCTATATGTGGAGTTGACCTACTTTTAGACTTCATGGGGTCAGGTGACTCATCCAACCTTAAGAAGGATGGAGGACTACTAGAAGGAGCTGTAAAGAAAGAGGGAACTGGCACAGCTTTCGATGTTGTGCCTGAAGAGGAAGAGTGGACGATTGTTCAAGGAGCACTTCAGCTTTTGACTGTCGCCGAAGGCCTTAGTAGTCGTTCGGCTGTGTTTGAGGCCTCGCTTCGGGCCACACTGTCTCGGTTGGGCACCAGTTTGCAGCCCTCGCGCGTGCTGACCAGCTCCACGTTGTCTTTCCCTTTGATCACTTCTGAGAAAGAAGACTTGGATGACACTTTTGCAGGGCCAATGGGACTAGATATTTCAATTTTGCGCTTATTCAGTACTCCTGAGAAAGCAAAAAGACTATCAAGCCTGTTTGAACAGGTCGTTCCTACACTTCCTATTCTTTAGTTTTTTCCGAGACAGAATGTGTTTTGAATATTTAACCATCGAGTGTAGAAGGATATGCCATTGAGTTGCTAATATTCTAAGTATATTGGTGGAAGGTAGTGTACCTTCCTTGTAATCATCTTTTTAAGGTTACATGTATACTGACCTTGCACAGGTGTTGGGATACATCATTCACATTTATATGTAAGTCACTGACATTCTTATGATTGACAGCAGGCCAAGGATCCACAGTTTCATGCGCTGCCTCACACTTCTCAAAGGGTAGCTGCTTTTACGGACGCAGTGAATGATCTCGTGTACGAGGTTCTTATGTCAAAAGTCCGGGCTAAGCTTGCAGATATGGCGAGGGAGGCCGTTTGGAACCAGCAGGAAGAACAAAATTTATTTTCCTTGCCAAATTTTAGTGCTTATGCATCGGAGTATATCACTAGCATTGGTGAGTACTTGTTAACACTTCCCCAGCAGTTACTTCCTCTAGCAGGGAGTGGAAATCCGGAGGGCGTAGAAGAGGGCTCTGATGATGCCCAGTACTTTGCGACAGAGTGGATGTTCAAGGTGCCTTCATTCGTTTCTGCCTTTGGTTTTCGTTAAATCTCCTCTCGTATAGAATTCTCTACTCTACCAGTAATGATCTCTGCGGTTTCCCTGTGGCTTTTGTTACAACACATTTGTTTCTAATGCTTGATTGTGTCGATACAGGTGGCCGAAGGAGCAACGGCTGCTTACACAGAACAAATCAGGGGAATTCAAGCTCTTAGTGAGCGAGGTGCACAACAGCTTTCTGCTGATATCGAGTATCTATGCAATGTACTCAATGCATTGTCTATGTCCACCCCGCCGGTCCTCCACACTTTTCATGTCTGTGTATCCACTCCACGAAACAAGCTTTTTGAGGTTGTAGAGCAGGATGGAATCGACAATGCAACATTTCGGCTGGTTTGTAAGATGCGTCAAGTTAAATTGGAATCAGCTTAATGTGGTTCGCTGATGGACTGAACAATGCCACATATTTGCCATCGAACAGTGTCTGAGTTGTTTGCCAAGATAGGTTGGAGCTGTCACCCATAAGCTTCCTCCACGGAAATTTGACTTCTTAATATTTTGATCGAGGTGATCTCTATTTTATATAGGGTAAACATAATTTTCACCATTACAAAGTTTACTCCGTTTTAGTAGTGGTATTACACAGGTATTCTAAACAAGCGAACGTGCTGTGAGCGGTTTCGTTCAGAATCACTGAAATCACGTTACAAATCTCTTCGACACGGTCGAGACTCAAACTTGGCCCTGCAATTTGATAATGTCATTCCAATATTTCACCGTGAGCTGGTAATGACAGCATGACTTTTTACGATCATTGAAATTCTGGGCAGTATCCTCTAAATACATTCCACGACAGCACTAAGATGGTGGTGCAGCATAGTTTGTATAGTTATCTTTTTCAGTTTTAGAAAGTTGTGACTAGATGTTCAATTGTTTTTTTTTTCTTTTTTCTTTTTTCTTTTTGTTTTTTTCAAACTTCGGCATTTCATGGCATTTGTTCCTAAGAATGTGTGCTTCATTAGACGAGTGTATTTTTTTTTTTTTTTTTTGGAATTTGAGCAATCTCAATAAGTTAAAAAACCAAAATCATCAAAACATTGAAAAGTATGATTGTAAAAATCAAAATGTTTTAGATTAAGTGCACATAATTTTATCCAAAAAACAATGTTTTTGGATGTAGTCTTAGTTGTACGTTGAAACGATGGAATTTTTAATAGACATATTTAGTCAAAAATTTAAACTAAGAATGTGCATCATTTACACATTCTTAGTTTTTTACACATTTTTGATTGTAACATAATAAAATGTCTATCAACAATTCTACTATTGTGCCATCACGAATATAGAATACAGATTGGAAATCTAAATAAGAAGCTCAAGAAGAATCGACAAGAATTAGATTAATCAGATGAGTAAGAACAATACCAAAGAGGTGAGCTAGAGCTCTAAGATGTGTGTTGTCGAGACTGAGGATTCCCTCACTCTCGGCTCCTACATATACTACAAGCTAAGAAGCTTCTCAAATAGCTTCCACAAACTAGGAAGCTTTTCAAGCAGCTTCCACAAGCTAGGAAGCTTTTCAAGCAGCTTCCACAAGCTTGAAAACTTCTCAAGTAGCTTCTACAAACTACAAAGCTTCTCTAGAACTGTCTAGAATCTTCTACAACTTCCTAGTATATGTCCTTGACATCACCTCCCTCTTTTAGCTTCGAGGTCTCCGAGAAGCACTCCTATTGCGCGTCAATACCAATGTAAAAAGTTGAAAATTTGTCGCATAGTGTCTACAATATATTCCAATTGTTGTTCGAGCAACAAGTAGTTCATTGGTCCTTATAACCAACGATAGTATCTTACGCCTTCAATTTCCAATCAAGCATGAACTTCCGTGTCTTCATTGTGAAAATGCCCTACAAACACTCCTTTGGGAAGATCACCATAGCCAGGTTCTACCTCAAACACAATCACTAGCAACCTGTTACTAGGTATCTTCCGTTGTCTTTGTGGTATAGGGGGTTCTTCATGTCGGGGTTATCTTCGTGAGATAATTGGTTGAGAAGACATGACTGCTATGGTATCTATCTCTTGGCTATCAATATCAGACCAAAAAATACAAGCACTAAACATGGGAGAATGGGCTCAGGTTACAGATTTATAGTCTCTAACTATGTCTTTTAGAGGTTCCTTCTCCTCCTTGGTAAGGCCGAGGATTAAGAGACTTTAAGGAGAAGGAACTTCACTGAAAAACTTTCATCGAAAGGGCTTAGGTTTCGAAGGATAGCGTCAATGAAACTCCTGTACCTTTTGCGATGCATTGATAAGATTTTTTGCTGATTCTTAGGTGGGCTCATTGATATCATAGCCGCTCCAATGCACTAGGTACTTCAATTTTCCCTACTTATGCCGTAAATCTAATACCTTTTCAACCTCGTATTCCTTGTGGTTCTCAATTTCAATACTAGGTGGCAGACATTGCACTCTTCCAAGAAAAGATGACTCTCGATAAGGCTCCAACAAAGAAATATGAAAGACTGGGTGTACCTTCATAGCAGTTGGTAACTCCAGATAGTATGCCATTGGATTGATTTGCTTCTGGATGACAAATGGTCACACTCTCCGGTAGTTCAACTTATCACATGGCTGCTTGGTTTTGATATTCCATCGAAGCAGCCATACTTTATCTCTAATTTTGAAAGTAGGTGCCTGATTCCGAAATATGTTTGCGGATGCCTTGTAAGCTTCTTGCGTAGTTTGTAATTGAAGCTTCAATGTAGTTTGAAGCTCTAATAGTTGTTTCACAAATCCTTCAGCTTTCGGGTTGTTATTAGTTGACGAACTCAACAAATCAAGCTTCAGATGATATCCATAGTTGGAAAAGAATGGTGTTTGTTGAGTCAACGCATGAAGGGTGTTGTTATATGCAAACTTGACTAATGATAGATATATAGTCCAATCATCTTGCCGATAGTTGATACTACATTGTAAATATTGCTTCACCCATTCCGTTTGGCCATCAGTTTGAGGATGGAAAGCCAAATAAAGTTTAATATCCACCTTCAATATCTCATAGAGAGATCTCCAAAACTTTGATATGAATTGGGTTCCTCAATCCGACACGATATCATTTGGTAAACCATGATATTGATACTCACTATCAAGGAAGAGCTTTGTTGTGTCTTTGCTTGACGATGTTTTCTTGCAAGGAACAAAGTATGCCATCTTTGTAAGCCGATCTACCACAACAAAGATGCTATCAAATGAATTTGATGGCAGCAAGTCCATAATGAAGTCCATGGAAACTGAAGACCATGGCCGATATAGAATAGGTAATGGCTGTAGAAGACCGTAAGAACGATGCTGAGGGTTCTTGGATCTTGAAAAAATGTCACAAGAGAGGACAAAATCCTTCATATCCTTCTATATTTGGGGCCACCAAAAATCCTGAGAAATAAGTTCCAAGGTCTTATTGAATCCAAAATATCCCGCAAATGAAAAGTTGTGTTGAGATTTGAGAACTCAGAGTTTTGCTAGTCCCTTTGGAATATACAATCGCTCCTCAAAGTATAAAAGATCTCCTTCCACCTTGAACTTGTCATTATTGACATGTTGCATGATATTGAGGGCTACAGAATCTCCAATAGTTGCAATATGTACTTGGTTGAAGAACTCAGCATCAATTCGCACTATAGCAAAGCAAAGCCTGAATTGTTCTGACTTCAACAATGTTGTATACTATTGATCAAACGTTGTTTCTCCAGCCTTTAACGCTAGATGCAATCTCCTTGATAATATATTAGATAGTCCTTGTTGCTTCTCAGGCCGATAAGTAATAATAAAGTCAAATTTGGATAGCAACATATTCTATTGAATTCAAGTCGACATGAAGTACTTCAAATTCTTGTGATCTATATATACGGTCACCAAATGTGCAACTCCTTCAAGAAAGTGATACCATTCTTGGAAAGAATCCACTATGGCAAGAAGTTCTTTATGATGGATTTTATAGTTGATTTTGGCAACATAAAACTTTGGAGAGTAGCACGCAATTGAATGAAGCTTCTCGTCTGTGCCTATCTGCAAAAGTACAACTCCCATAGCAAAATCTGAAGCATCTGTCTCCAAATAGAAGGCTTTTGCAAAGTCCGGATGTACCAAGATTGGAGCCATAGTAAATGCCGTCTTAAGACCTTGAAATGCTTTTTCCGCTAGAGGTCTCCATTTGAGCTTGTCCTTATATGTCAATTGAGTGAGCGGAGTAGCAACTTGAAAATAATTCTTGATGAAGATCCGATAGAAGTTAGCAAAGCCAAGAAAACATTGTACATCTCTAATCGTCTTTGGAACTTCATATGATACAATTGCTTCCACCTTCTTAGGGCCCATCTTCAAACCTTCCGTAGTTGCAATGAATTCCAAAAATTCCATCTCAATTTGGTTAAACAAGCACTTCTCCAATTTGGCATAAAGTCCTCGCTTGCGGCGTTTTTCAAGGACTAGACGAACGAGTTTCTCATGCTCTTCTATGTTCTTGGAAAATATCAAAATAACATCTAGATAGATGATAACAAAATCATCAAGGTGCTCTCGAAAGATGTCATTCATCATATGTTGAAAGACCACCGAAGCATTAGTAAGACCAAAAGGCATGTCATTATATTCAAAATCACCATACCTTATATGGAAAGCTATCTTCCATTCGTCTCTTTCCTTGATTTACACAAGGTTGTAAGCTCCCCTTAGATCAATCTTTGTAAAGATCTTTGCATGCCCAAGTTGCTCTAGAAGACCTGATATCACGGGTAATGGATAACGATTCTTCTTTGTCACCTTGTTGAGACCTCGATAATCTACGCACATCTGCAGCGAGCCATCTTTCTTCTTCACAAATAAGATTGGTGCCCCACTTGGCGACTTCAAATAATAAATGAAGTGCTTGGCTAGATTCTCGTCAATGTACTTTCGCAACTCCACTAACTCCATCTGCAAAAAATTATAGATTGGTTCAAAAGGTGGTTGTGCTCCTTCCTACAAGTGTATGGCACAATCATAAGGTCGATGCTCTGGTAGCATGTCGGCATTCTTCTTTTGAAACACATCTTCAAAATCCTTATATTGTGCTAGTATACTTATTGTCAAAATCTTCTCTCCACTAGTTGGAGTCGCATAAATGACAAATGGTGTACCTTTTTTGGCTGATGTTACAAATGCTCTTGCTCCAATAAATAAGGGTTCTTTGATTCGAGATCTTCTAATAGGCTCACTCTCGAAATGTTCTATAGGAAATGTCATCTTTTGTAACCTCCAATCTATAAATGGGTTATGCATTTCTAACCAAGAAAGACCAAAAATAAGAAGGTTTGACAGGGTTCTAATAATATTGAAAATAATATAACTACTATGGTCTTTAAACATCACTTCTATAGGTTCTAATTTATGGATGATTCTACCAGGTTTAGGGTTTAGGTTTTTGTACTAGAGGAACCTCGTGATGCTTAGCAAATTCTTTGTCTAAAAAGTAAGCAGATGCTCCTAAATCTAATAACGCTAAGATTCTTAATTTCTGAGGGCCAAAAGATAGAAGAATGGTAAAGCAATGGACAGGCTGAGCGGAAAGAGAAGAACTTGATTTTTGTTGTGGTATTGAATTCTCCAACTGTACAATCCTTATTGTGGCTGGGCATCCTCGTTTTCTTGAACAAACGTGCCTCTCGTCTTAATAATGCGTCAATTTTGTTTTTTAGGGCAATTTCAAGCTTTGTGACCTTCTTCACTACAATATAAGTATAGTCCTTCCTCTATATGCCACTTTTTTTCTTC